TGAATTTGAACTGCCAGAGAAGCATGGCCTGAGGGTTAGCAGTGCAACTTCATATGGACTATGCTGCTAAAACTTTGTTTCAATAAGACTTTCTTTACTTAACAGGAGGTGAGCTAACTTGGTCCTAGACCACAGTTTACCACCCTGTGGTCTAGAGAGGATCAAACCCTTGTCAGCTAACTTCTAATTCAAAACAGATGCTTAACTGTATAATAATACTCTTGCCTTCTCAGACCCAGTACTTTGTCCTACTAAGAAAATAATGAGTATAATTAAGGCATGATTTGGAGCTATTATTTAGGTGAAAGGCTAAGTGTATATAGTATCTGAATCCCAGTTGTCACTTATTGGCTGTGTGACCTTGGGCAAATAATTTTAATTCTCAGCGTTCTCATCTGTAAAATGAAAAGTACTAGTGGAAGCTTAAATAGTAAATGTCAATTGTGTAAAATAATGCCTTTCTCATAGTAAGTCCTCAGTAGATGTTGGCTATTATTTTTTTTTAAAAATAAGCAGTGGCAAAGAGGGGAAGAATGAATGTGATAAGGAGAATGAGAGTCAGCAGCCACATAGCTGTCAAAATCTGAAGCTCACTAGAATGTGTGTTTCTGTTTAAAAGACAACAAAAATGCTGTCAAGGGAGAACTGAGAGTCTAAGTATAAACTTGGTAACTTAAAAAAAGAAATGGTTGTGTTTGACATATTTTACTGTATCTTAAAACCCCAGAGATGATGGGGAGAGAAACTGAAAAATTGGCTGAATCAGAGGAAACCTAATTTGGGCCTCATTGACTAGTTCGTGTCTTAGTTACATAATTCTGCTTTAAGAGTACTATCACAAGTGGATGGCTTTCACTGACAGAAATTTATTTTCTCAAAGTTTAGGAGGCTGCAAGGTCAATTTCAGAGGGCCATCTTGAGGGGAACGCCTTATTTCTCTGTTGGCTCTGGGGGATGATCCTTGTCTCCTTTCAACATCTCCTGGTCTAACATTCCTTACATCTGATGCACCTGTATTGAGATGGTTCCTGGGGCAGGAACCTGGGTCTCAAGAATGCAATGTACTTCTGGCTTTTTTAAAATTATTATTGATTTGCACATAATCATTTATGTACATAGTGTTTTGTATAGGTAATTTGTGTTTTATATCATTATACATATACATCATATCTTAATTTTATATAATTATCACTGTTCTATGCTTATTATCACCCCATCTTTTCATGCCCAAATGGAACCTTTCCCACTTCTTTATCTCCCCTCTCTACCCACTAACCTCTCTTATCCCAAAGATTTTCCCTCCTCTTCTACTTATTCTGCTCCCCTTCTCTCCTCTGCCTTCTGAACATTTATACATGTCTTGCTTATCCTATTTTCACAATAATGGTCTTCTGGGATCTTTTTCCTTAGTGACTGAGATATTTCATTCAGTAAAATGCTCTCTAGTGTCTCCTAAGTGATACAGTATTTTACAGTATCGTTGCTCCTCACTGCTGCATGAGATACCCCCTCACTCCAGTAGCAGTAACAAATTTCAACAAAACAGCAAACAATAAATGTTGGTGAGGATGCAGAGAGTTTATAGATGCAGAACTCTCAGCACTGCTGTGAGATTGTAAAACAGTACAAGCCCTGTGGAAGGCAGTTTGGCGTTTCCTCAAAAAGCAGAACATAGAAATCTCATATGACCCTCATATTTCACTGCTAGGAATATTTCCGAAGGAAATCAGAATTGAGATACAAATGGACATTTGTACACTCATGTTCATGGCAGCATTTTTCACAACTACAAGAAAATTGAAGCAACCCAAGTGCTTGTCAATGAATGAATGGATTGAGAAATTATGGTGCATGCATACAATGGCTCTTCTTTCTTGGTGGTAAGAAGACTCCATTTCTCTCTGTTCCCTTCTGTCTTCTTTTCTTCTTAAAAGAGAAAAGATGTTGTAGTCATATCCTAGGTGAATTCTCTTTACATCAGAGCAGGCTATGATAAGATTAAAGGTGTTGCTTCTCACCTTTATCTTTTTAAACTGATTAGTTTATCAAATCATGGGAGGCCATTACATAACTAACATATTATATGCCATTACATAAAACCCAAAAAACAACCCATCTGAGAATCATAGTTCAGCCACGTAAACGTATTTTTTGGGAGACAATTCAATCCATAATACCTTTTGCTTCTCAGAATGAATCTCAGGCCTGGGATTAATTTTACTTCAGTGGGCATCAAATTCAGCTTTATTTTTGACTGATGTGAATTGTTGACACCTAAGGTGATGACAAGAGATACTCTGATCATTTTTCCAACTGGCCTAATATCTTTCTGCCTTACTAAGAAATGCTATGGGTAAAGACTTTTCTACATCTACCTTTTGCAGTAAAGCTGCCTCGATGAAACTTTCCCTCTTTGTAGAAGAGTTCCTAAAATATTTCTTAACTGATAACCTTCTCCTCTTTCTTCTCCAATAAGAAAACAACAACAACAGCAACACCTTAATGCCACTCAATCACTCTGATTCATATCCACACCCTTTCTGGATTCCGATAACTAGAAATATTTAGGGGAGGAGACAGTTAATTTGTCTCCTTTAGAATGGCTGGTGGATTCAAATTACAGTTTGCCTTCCTATACATTACTGACTGTGCTACCAGGGCTCCTTTTAAAAAAGAACTTCCTAAATTGTAGCATTGATGAAGAGTATTGAATATATTGTGGACTGCCAAAGAACAAACAAATATGCATCTAAGGTGCTCTTTAGAGGCAAGAATGGTGAAACTTCATCTCCCAGACTTTGGACATCTTGTCATGAGTCTAGTGCTTATCTTGCTGGAAAAAGCTGAGGGCCAGAAAAACTCTCAAGGAGATGGACTAACAGTGATTGCAGCAGTGGCCTTGAGCATGACAGAGATTGTGAGAATGGTGCAGGCTAAGGCCAGGTTTCCATCTGTTGTTTGTAGGTCACTATGTGTTGTGTTTGAAGGCCCTTAACAACAGCCTTTAATGTTTTGCCACAGTCTTACAAACTGAAGTGCATCTGGCCCAGTCGTTCTCCTTCGTTTCTGTGTTAGTAAAGAATGAACCTTTCCTGGTGGCTCTGTTCCTCTTCACCTCTAGTCTAGTTGGGAACTTAATCCTTCATTTTTCCATGAGGAGCTCTGGTGGCTGGGTCCTAAAGGACTCGCACTGCCAACGCAAAAGGCTCACCTTTCTGGAATTAGTTAGAAATACACTTTTGAATTCATCCGCAGCCAAGGGACCAAGGTGGACATTCCCTTCCCATGCAAGTTATAGCCTCAGAAACCCAACTGAGGGTCAGCTCTGGGTTGGTTCTGATTGCATGGCAAAGAGAGAGAGAAAGAACTTAAGCACAATGGTTTTTCTGCCTTATTCTTGCCCAACATCTACCTCAGCACATTCTTTTACTTAAAACAAAGCAAACAAAAACTAAATACAAATTCATCTTGGAGACATTAAATACAGCAACCTCCTCCTGTGCTATTAACTGCCTCTGAAAACCTGCTGGAGGGTCAGCTATGGGTTGGTTTTGACTCTGCGGTACACAACAAAAATATGAATTCAGGGCAAGATGGAGCAATATCTACCTGATAGAATAATTTCCTCCTACTTTCTAACTTCATTCTTACGTACGTTTCATCCCTCCTCACAGCTAGCTTATATTTTTGCTCCTGCCACCCTCCTCCTTGGACTTTCTCTTTTTGTTCACTACGTTTCTTTACCTACTATCCATTCCCAGATTTTCCATGTGGCACTTTCCATCCCTCTGTGCATACATAGAAATTTGGTGTCTCTGTTTCTTTTATTTGCATCTTGATCTATTTTTGTGATGACTTTGCTAGTGACTTTTATAAAATGCAAATTTGATGATGTTACTCTCTTTGCTGGGTCTCAATTGTTTTCAAGTAAAGTTACCAAATTCTGGGTTCTTGTTGTTGACTGCCTTCGAGTCGAGCATGACTCATAGCAACCCTATGAACAAAAGGACCGAAGCCCCTCTACAACTACTGACATTTATTTCATAGAGTTTCTGGAGGCATGTTATTTACGAAGTGGATGCCACTCCTGCTTCCAAATCAGTCATGGTTTGTTATTGTTTTATGTGCCATTAAGTCGCCTGTGTTGTATAGCGACCCTATGTACAATAGCTCTGAACCCTTCTCTGTCCTGAGCCAGTCTCACTGACTCCTACACACCAACCCCCATCGCCCCAGTTACTGTATCAATCCGTGTCTTCTGGGGTCTCCCTCTCCTGTGCTGTCCGTCCACTCTTCTGAGCATCATGTCCTTCTACAAGGATTGATCTCTCCTCACCACGTGCCCAAAGTAAGTGAGCAGAGCTTCAGAATCCTAGCCTCCAAGGAGAGACTTGGTTTCACCCTCTCTAAGACAGACCTATTTGTTTTCTTGGCAGTCCATGGTATGTTCAAGACTCTTCACATCATAAAAGACCCAGGAAGGCAGGGGTCTTGTTTATCCTGGTCACTAATTTCTGTCACTTAGCAAATCACATGACACACAAACTTTTTGGTAAATATTTTTTAGATAAATCATGTACATTTTAAAACAAATTTTATATGTATATGCACTTTACATTGTGATTCATTCCAATGTATACATTTATACTATATAACATGACTTAAAAACATGTATTATTTTTACTTTATATAAAGGAATAAGTGTAAGTGTATCTTAGAAGATTTATGTTATCTTTTTATCTATCATTTATTTTTTTGTTTGTAGTATCTGTATAGTCCTAACATTTCTAGAGTGGATGTAGTTTTGGTGAATGTTTAGGGTGAAGGATTGAACTCTGATGATGAAAAGAAAATATCCATTGAATCTTTTTTCATGGCAGCCTTTGTGGACCTCTCACTGGCTTAGAATTTGCTTTGGTCTTATCATCAGTGCCTCCTGAGGAGTGCAAGGGGAATACTTAACATACTTTATAGATAAATTCTTTTTCTTTTTGCTTTAGATAACAGTACCCAGAGGTGGACCCTTGAAATAGAGTCTTCTTTCGATGTTGTCAGCTCACAGCCAATATGTGCTCAAGTGATTGTATCCATTCCTAAATTGCAAATTCAGCACATACGCAGCGTTGACCTCATCCCTGGGCAAAGTCTGGTTAAACTGCTTATCAACATAAACAAGGTAAAGGATACTACTTCCTGAGGAGGACATGTTGAAAAGCAATACTTGTTTAAAAGGGATTGTTAGAAAGTAAGGACTAACTATCCACCGGTCCAACCTACTGCTGATCAGTTGATTCCAGCTTATGGTAATTGTCCCTCAAGTTTCTGCAGCTGGTAATAGTTATGGGCGGAGACTGCCCATCTTTTTCTTGTGGAGTAGCCACTAGCAGCCAAACATGAAGAACTTAAAAAACTTGAAGAACCTGAGTTGTAATTATGTGCTGTCAAGTGGGAAGTGACTCATAGCTGACCTTCTGGTGGGTTTTTAGGGGCAGTAAATTGCACAGGAGGAGACGGCCCATTTTTTTTCTGTGGAGCAGCTGGTGGATTCAAATCCTGTGCCTTTGGGTTGGCAGTGCAATTCCCTGAAAAAAGCAGAACTCCCTGTGACCTGAAGGCTGTATAGGGTCGCTATGAGTTGCAAGAGATTCGACGGCACATAACAACATAACAACAACAAAAATTTTCTTCTCTATTTTTAACTTCTCATATATTTTGTGTGCATAAGTGCTAAGAATTTATTTATCCAAGCTTTAAAGATTAGAGATGTGAAGAATGTCATTAAACTGGCATTCTTTCTCATTAGGAAGTCAACTGTGTTGTATTTTATTTTTTCTACAATGTTTTAAGTATTTTTTAAAAAAAATTTAAAATTTTATTATTTTTGTGTGTGTACCATCAAACTGGATCTGACTGGTACAGAAGGAGATAGCCCTTCCTTCTCCAGCAGAAACTTCTGGTGGATTTGAACCATGTATCTCTAGGACTGCAGTGCAGCTTCTTGCCACTAGGCCACCAGAGCTCCCTCAGTATTTATAGTATTCTTTATCACTTAAACTATCTTAAATAAGGAAAAGACATGCTAAGCAATACTTTTAAATAGTAGTGCTCCAATTTTGGTGCTTTTCAGTTGTTTTTAATATTAGTGCTTATTCTATGTCTAGAACTCTGATTCTAAACTCATGATCTCTCATGGATAGAGGTGAACTGCATTTAACTTTTTCTTTTTGATAAACCATAGCTTTGAACAGAAATGACAGGGGCATCTCAACATTTAGTAACTATTCAGAATGTTAAACAACTTCTAGTGGTGCCTTGAAAGAAAAGCCAACCTCAAAGTTAAAAATTTTCCATGTTAAAAATGCATTATGCTGAGTGAAATATCTCAGTCACAAAAGGACAAATACTGTACGGTGCCACTGTTGTAGAATGAGGCTGACATCAGGGTTGGGGTAAGACTGAGAAAAACCTGGATAAATTATGTATACTGCATTGAAGCCGATGAGGGAGAGAACAGTTTAAAAGCAGTATATTTTAGGGCATTATGATTACCATTAGAGTTCAGAATGAGGTTTGCAGAGTGGAGTATACTTAGGGTGGGGGTGGGGGTGTGCAGGGGATTGTATACCAATGAAGAAGTTTTTCTTTTGTTTTTCAAGGAGAAGAGTGAACTGGGGGTAGGGGTGGTGTGGGTGGGGAGCAAAGTGTAACAATGAACGAATGGAAATCCAAAATCTCTGTAAATGTTCATTGAAATTAATAAAAAAAAAAAGAATAAAAGGAAGCTCAGAGTGGTAAGTGTAGGAGCTATTACTTTTTGAACATTCATCTTATTTCTTTCTTTTACCCTTTGGTATAGTAATCTATACCAAATTTCTAGCATGTTGTTTTTGTTATGTGCTGTCGAGTCGAGTTGCCTGTGACTCTTAGTGACCCTATGTACAACAGTCCTTACCCCTTGCCAATCTCATTGTCCCTGACACACCCTATCCCCATTATCCCAGTGATTCAATCAATTCATTTCATTGAGAGTCTTCCTCTCCTGTGCTGTCCCTCCACCCTCCCAAGCATTATGTCCCTCTTCAAGCACAGGTCCCTCCTTGCAACATGTCCCAAATATGTCAGATGAAGCTTCAGAATCCTTGCCTCCAAGGAGAGCCTGGCTTAACCTTCTCCAGGATGAACCTGTTTGTTCTCCTAGCAGTCCATGTATATTATATTCAATACTCTTCTCCAACACCACAGCTCAAAGGCATCAATGCTCCTACTATCATCCCTAGTCATTGTCCAGCTCTCTGATGCATAGTGAGTAATATTGATCTTTAAGTATTATTGGAATGGTTTGTCTTATTATGAGTAGGTATTTTAGAACCCAGAATTTCTAAACCTGCTTACTTAAGAAATTGACATAAGCCTCTGAATCCTTATACTGTATTTTTTCTAAACATATGTCACCAATTACTTAGAATGACTTATTTATTAACAGAATGCTTCTGTAGCAACTTGGTGGCCTCATGGACATGGAAATCAGACTGGGTACAACATGACTGTTCTTTTTAAACTGGATAAAGGCTTGACTATTAAAAACTCAGCTATGGTAAGTGAATTACCTTAAGATCTTTTTTAAACATTACATTTATTATTATAATAGCAATATTGACATTTATAGACTATTTGTAGAAGAAAACTCTTATAACTTAATCCATTTTCACAAATATAGTCCGAACTATTGTACGCATTCATTAGCTTGTGTGTTTGTGTCATGTGGAGATATATATATAGACATATATAAAACATTTTTTATTTTAATTTTGATTTTAACAAAAAATCACAAAAAAGTTGCATTTTCATTCATTCATTATTGTACAATTTCTTCCCTCCCCCCTTTTTCCCCTCCCCCAGTTCACTTCCTTTTTAAAAATATTATTCATTGTTGCACAATTTCTTCCCTTCCACCCCTTTCTCTCCCCCTCCTCCAGTCCTCTACAATGTACCTTTTTTTACTGTTGTCTTACATGCAATGCCTAATCATATATTCCTTTTAAACAGTTCTCTCCCTCATCTGTTTCAATACAGTTCATTTTTTATCCACTCTTTTCCTATTTTCCTCCCAACCCCCATGTCAGTCCTGCTTCATAACAGTTTTGTACTGCAGTATTTGTCCTTTAGAGACTGAGACATTTCACTCAGCATAGTGTCCTCCAGGGCCACCCATGTTGTGTAATGTTTTACAAGTTCATTATTTTTCAGTGCTGCATATTTTCCATTGTGTGACTATACCATAGTTTTTCTATCCATTTGTTTGTTGATGGGCACTTGGTTGTTTCCATATCTTTGCTATTGTGAATAACACAGCAGTAAACATGGGTGTGCATACATTTGTTTGGATGGCGGTTCTGGTTTCTTTATATTCCCTGCAGTGCAATTGCTGGGTCAAATGGTAGTTCTATTTCCAACTTTTAGAGAAAGCGCCAAACCTCCTTCATAGTGGTTACATCATTTTACACTCCCACCAGCAATGAATAAATGTTCTAATCTCTCCACAACCTTTCTAGCATTTGTTTTTGGGTGTGGATTTATATTTTTTAATGTAATCCTAACTACCATAAGAAGGAAGCTGAGTTAGTTACTCAAGCCTTACTTTGCTTTTTTTCTTTTAACTTATAATCATTGATTGACTTCTTCAGATTTGCTTACTCATTTAAAGAGTCAGGAGCTCATCAAGGATTTGCATTTAGTTATTATGTTTCATTAATCTCTTACAGTCTTTAACTCACAGGTTACTTTTGAGTAACTTTGTTTTATAACATCGACTTTGTACAGTCCAGGTATAGTCTCTGTAGTGTCTTGCACTACTAACCAAAATGCTGAGCATCTCTGGCAGTTTGAATCCACTAGCATCTCCATAGGAGGTAAATTGGACGGTTTCTTCCTGTTGTGATGTATGTCCTGGAAACTCTTTGGTGGTAGAACTGATGAGAGGTCAGTGAATCTGAACTTGTTTGATGTTTTCCTCGTGTTCCTCTCTGTCTCTCTCTTGCTGTCATTTGTCCTTCTCTGTCATTCTACACTGTTAAGTGAGTTCCCCATTGGTTTGCGATGCTGTAAATTGTAACAGAGGAGCAGGGAGACTGTCCATCTCTCTTCCTTGGAGCTAATGGTGGATTTGAACAGCCAGTTATGTGAAGCCTTTGGATTAACAACTCACTATTGGCTACACCACAAGAGCACCCTCTTTTTCTCCATAACTAATTCTAACTTATTGCCATCAAGTCAGAACTGACTCATAGTTGACTATATCATGAGTTTTCAGAGACTGTAAATCACACAGGGGAGATTATCCATCTTTCTCCCACTTTCTGTCTGTAGAAGAAACAGTTTTCTACTGAAATGTCCTGGTTTCTTTAAGAAGCCTTGTTTGCTTTCAGACCACCACTGTATGAATAACAAGTGATGCCTACATACACTTTTAGAAGCTGTGGCTGAGTTTAGTTGGCTCTCTAGTCTCTCTCAAGTTATGTAGATTTTTTTCAAAATCATTGCTTCTGTGTTCTGTGTAGTATTCCATTGTGTGAATGTACCACAATTTCTCAATCCCTTTGATTGTGGTTGGACATTTGAGCTATTTCCATGTTCTTGTAATGATAAGTAATGCTACTATTAACATTGATGTACAAATATCATTTGTGTCTCAGTTCTAAGTTCCTTGGGGTATATTCCTAGTAGTGGACTAACTGGGTTATACGGACTGCATAAGACGATTGTTGTAAAAATAGACAGATAACTAATAAAACTTGTATGGAGGCTCAGGGGGGAAAGGGTGGGGACAGAGGGGTGAGGGCAAGCAGCGGGGGGTTCATGGGGTTGTATAATTTTGTGGGTGGAGGGAGGAGGAAAAGGAAATGGGAAAGACTTGATGGGGACCAGAAAAGACAGGGTAATGGTGGGCATAGTTTAATGGTGATTAATTTTATAAAACACAGTGATGATAATTGTATGAAATACAGTGTGAATGAAGGAAAGTGTGAAACACAATGTATATGAAATTTTGTATGCAAACCAATGTTGTTGTTGTTGTTAAGTGCTGTTGAGTCGCAGGCGACTCATAGCAACCCAGTGAAGGAGAGTCCTTGACACTTGGGTGCCTTTCATCCTCTCTCCAGGTTCATAGGGTTTCCAGAGGCAAGCTATTATGGAAGTGGATGCCACTCCTCCTTCCAAGCTTGTTTTCATCGGGTAGCTCCACCCCACTTTCTGTTCGCATTGGGTAACCAGGCATTAATGCATTTGACACATCAGTGTCACAGTGTTCAGCCTCACAGTAACCACAAGTGACCGCTGTACGGCCACTTGCAAACCAATATAAAAGGGAAAAAAAAATCTAACCCTTGGCTGACCACAGTGGCTACGAAGTGAGGTGGTTTTCTTTTAGTACATCAACAAACACTACCTGTATTTCCACTCTGCACCAATGCTGACTGACTGCCACTTGGTTCTGTCCCAGCTACTCTTTCTGAGATATGTGGGAAGTCCTTCGTGATGACCTGCCAGGACCCACCATCTATGACAAGTGACTCCAGGAGCTACTCAAGCAGAAATGCTAGGGAAATGGGGAAAACCCTGCCTTCCCAGGAAGTCACTGAGCTTAGGCACAGAGGTGAGAGGGTGTTTGAGCTATCTTGCTATGGAGTTGATTACAACTCATCACAACACTATATTGTTGATAGGTGCCATCGAGTATAACTCATAGCAATGCTATGAACAACAGACCTGAACCCTGTCCTTTCCCATGTCATCTTCATCGTCTCTGACACATTTGAGTCCATTGCTGCTGTCACTGTGTCAGTCCATGTTGTTGAGAGAGTCTTCCTCTTTTTCACTCATCTTTCCACCTTTCCAAGCATGAAGACTCTTTTCAAGGAATAGCAACTAGCCCAAAGTATGAGAGATAAAGCATCACGATCTTTGCCTCTAAGGATCATTCTGTCTGCACTTTTTCCAAGACTTATCTGTTTGTTCTTTTGGCAGTCCATGTGATATTCAGTATTCCTCTTCAACACCACATCTCAAAGGCACCAGTTCTTCTATTATCCTTATTCATTATCCAGCTCTCAGATGCATAGCAAGTGATTGAAAAAATCATGGCCTAAATCAGGCACCCTTTAGTCTTCAGACAGATATTGCTTTTATGTATTTTGGCGAGATCCCTGACAGCAGACCTGTCCAGTGCAATACATCTCCTGATCTCCTGATGCTTGGTATTAAGGGTGTTGTTGATTCAAGCACGGTGAAATCATTGACAACTTCAGTACTTTCTCTATTTATCATGACATTGCTTATTGGCTCAGTGGTGAGGATTTTCATTTTTTTGTTGGTTTTTTTTTTAAAAACTTAATCGAGATTTTTATGAAAGTTTATAGAGAACTTGGATTTCATTCATTCATTGTTGCACATTTTCCTTTCTACCCATCCCTCTAGTTCACTTTTCTCTTTGAAAAAAACTTTTCATTGTTGCAAAATTTCCTCCGCCCCAACTCCAGTCCACTTTGCTATGCTGCTCTTATTCTGCACTCTTGTGATGCAAATAATACCTAATCATATATTCCTTTTATTACCTCGCATATATTCCTTTTTAACAGTTCTTTCCCTCATCTGCTTCAATGTAGTGTACATTATCCCCTCTTCGTTTCTGCCCAACTCCCATGTCAGTCGTGTTTTATAATATCAACATTATGCAGTATTTGTCCTTTTGTGACCGAGATATTTCACTCATCATAATATCCTCCAGGATTACCCATTTTGTATATTTTATGAGTTCCTTGTTTTTCAATGCTGCATAATATTTCATTGTGTGAATATACCACAGCTTCTCTATTCGTTTGATTTTTGTTTTCTTTATTTTGACATGCAATCCATGTTGAAGCCTATAGTCCTTGATCTTTTGCAGCAAGCTTTTCAAATCCTCCTCACTTTTAACAAGCAAAGCTGTGTCAACTGCATAACTGATGAGTCTTCCTTTGGTCCTGATGCCATGTTGTTTCATAGGTTTCCCTTGCTGTACTTTGAGACTGCTCACCATTCTCTCACATGTATGGTGATTTTGAACTAGTGACCTTTCAGTTAATGGTGCAGAAACTAAACCAAACAAACTGATTGCCTTTGAGTCTATTCCAACTTGTGTCAACTTTACAGCAGGTTTCCTGAGCTGTAAACGTTAATGGGAATATATTGTCTCATCTCGCTCCAGTGAAGCAGCTGGACTGGCGACCATTCAGCGCAACATGTAAGGCTCTAAGATACCAGAGTTTCTTGTGAATTTCATGGAAAACAAAGCTTGCAATGAGTCTTAGATTTAGCTCCTGAATTTACCAGGTATTTACTAAGTATTATCATGTACAGCATGAGATGATGTGCTAAGGATATAGTGATAAACAGAAGAGACACTGTCTTTGTCCAAATCGAAATTGTCCAGTACAACTAACACTCACGTATATTGGGACTGTGCCTTTGCTTTGTGTGGTGTGGATATGCATGCATTTCTTTTAATACTAAACTAGAACAAGACTCTCTTGCTTTTGAGTGGATTTCCAGTGCTAG